TTGACAGAGAAAGACACAGCGAGAGAGGGAACACAAGCAGGGGGAGTGGGAGAGGGAGAAGCAGGCTTCCCGCCAAGCAGGGAGCCCCACGCGGGGCTCAATCCTGGGACCCTGGGATCATGACCTGAGCCAAAGGCAGACGCTTAACGACTGAGCCACCCAGGTGCCCCATGCACTTAGGTATTTTTCTTTGTAAACATTTTGAGAATGGTATGTATTGCTGGTAGATGTTGTATTAAAATGAATTCTAATCTTGTTTGGATTAATATATATATCCAGCCCACACTTTCGTCTGAGAACTTCCTGAGACTTCCCAAGGGAAGCAATCACTACTGAGATGTTTATTTTACCTTTCTTTACCTCTCTCGGTCATTTTTTATTGGTCTTGTTATAGACTCCTGATTAAAGTAGGAATAGTCACATTCTCCAAGTCCCTAAGTTTGTAATTATGATGTAGTTCATCTATTTTTTTTCTTAATTGCTTGTAACTAGAAAATAAATATTAAGTATGGGCTGAGGTAGCCATGTTTACACTTGTGTAGGTTGGCAGCACAGAATGGCATGTAGAGAGGGAGGAAAGAAAGGAGAAATGGAAGGAAAATGAGAAGGAATAAGGGAGTGGTAGAGGCAGAAGCCTAAGAAACAAAAGAGACTAAGAGTCACTTGGTTGTAGACCTGTCAGTTCCTGATTCCAGGGTTCCTAAGTCCCCATTGTCTAATTGTCCTTGAGCTCTACAGTAAAACTCCAGTTTCCTAATAATAAAACTCCTTTATTTAACCTATCATGGGGAGAGTGCACTTCTTGAAACCAAGAGTCAGAAAAGATACATGCAATCTTGAGTACTCAATTAGACTATTTACCATAAAACCTAGGTCTGTTATTGCAGGCTTTTAATATTAACATAATCAATAAATGGAATAAAAAATGTACAAGCTTAGAGATAACTAATCTATACTAGAAAATTTTGTTATAAAACTTAATTTTGTAAACAATTTATGAGCTCTTTCAACTGAAAGATACTACAAAAGATTTTATGGAATATTTTGTTAACAGGTTTCCCTCCATTTATTTTGTTCTCCAGGATTAGTTTTAAAAAGTAACACTGAAATTGTTATTGTTTGGATGTCTATACATCATACCTTCCTTATCATGTCTTTCTTTTAAAAATAACTGAGTTCAATGTGAGCAAAATTATTTTATCTTCTAATGTAAAATCCTCAGGATCTAGAAATAATCCAATTTATAGATTATATGGGTTAATTCATTATTTCATTAATAGTAATCTGATTGACACATACTCTATTACTAGAACACTCAGGAAAAAAAATTCAAGCTTCCTGCCAAGTATATGGGCATAAAACTTTCTCCTTAGGAAAGAAAATAAAGAGAAAATTTATCTGGGGATGCAGATGGGAATGAAAAACTAATTTTGATCCATTCACTTACTGACATAGGTACCAGCTTCTATCTATTAATATTTTAAAAACTGCATGGACACGAAGGGCACATTTTCTTGGACGTTTGATTCCATAATAAAGAGTCTGGTCCATGACCAAGACCTTTCTATAAGGAAATTATCTATTAGATTTTAACTGTCAACAGCATGTTCTCATATTTTGAGTTTACATAATCAATTTGTTTCGCTATGTAGAGGAAAACATTCTAAAATAGAATGTTGATTTGAGTGATTTGTACCTTTAATAGAGTTAAACTAATATGCAACACAATTTTTATACTTAGCCCATGCTATTTTCACAGTTAGCTAGGTATTAGTGTGCCAGAATACATGATAGTGTCTATTATTTAAACGTTATTAAAATATTGGCTAAAGTTTGATGCAGCTGGGGAGACCCAGGCCCCCTACTACAGATATTTTTCCCATCAATAGACCTAAAAGAACTTCAGTTTCATGCTAGGGTGCCAGGATCTCAAGCTATCTCTAAGGGATACGTGAGTTGCTTGCTAAAAATGGGTTGCAATCTTCCTTACTTGATATAAGTTTTGCCTGCTCTTTCAGATGATTCCAACTTATTTTCTTCTGCACTTTATTACTTTAACGTCAGCCCTTTATGATCTTGACTATCCTACTTTTCAAGATCTCAGTGAATCACTGCTTCAACATGTGAGTATCTTGGTTTTAGGAATAAATATAGATGTCTTTATAAATTGTTTTGGACAATGGAACAAGTCAATACAACATGCTCACAGAGGTACAGAGATATTCTCCTTAGACAGTATTTACAAATAAGTCATCCACAACCCCTTAAGCTTTCTATTGAGTTTGCATAATAAACTAGTTCTAGCTGGTCCATCACTTAAGTTTATACTCCTGAAACGTGAATGAATCTTTTCATCTACTGTGCTGGCAGTGAGTTGAGTTTAATTATGTATATTCTTTGTTTAGGAATAGACGGATAGCTACACATCATTTTCTAGTCAATTTCCCTGGAGAGCAGAGATTATACAATATAGTAGACATTATATTGTAAACTCCATGAGGTCAGAAAGGTATTTGTATTCCCAGCACTTAGTACAGTGCCTGACATATAACATGAAATTGATAAGCATTTGTTGAATAAACAAATACAGTTGGCTTTGTTTTTGCATCCTTTCCCAACGTGTCTGGCACCATTTCCACATTCATAATCTCATAGGAAAATAGAAGTTATCATTTTATTTATAAACCATCCCATATATAATCTGTGGTTTGTTTTTGTGTGTGCGTAAATCAAAGTTAAGTGTGATAGGTTTTGTAGCAGTTTCAGCAAACTAGGTTTAAGTACAACACATGGTGGCGCTGTAAGCTAAGGCTGCGAAAAACAGACCTGCGGATGGTTACTGCTCGGGTAGTCGTACACACGTAAGAGAAGATAATTCTTTACGGAATTACCTTGCGGCAGGGATTGACTCCCGGAGCGCACTGCCTAAAGACCAAACAGGCACTCAGATTCTAAAGACTTTTGGCGTTGGAGAAATGGAGGCTGAAAAGGAACGCTTTCCTAGACTAAGGCAAGTTCTTCTCTTTGTTTTGCTGGCTCACACTTGGGCGGAGCAGGAAGATTATCGTATTGCTGAAGAAACAGAGAGTGGTTCTTTTGTGGCCAATCTAGCAAAGGACATAGGGCTAGCGGTAAAAGAGCTCTCTTGGCGGAGGGCTCGGATCATTTTTACAAATGACAAAAAATATTTTCAGCTGAACCTTCAGACTGGAGATTTGAGAGTAAATGAGAAACTGGATCGGGAGGAACTGTGTGGCCCCACTGAGCCTTGTGTACTTCAATTCCAGGTGTTACTGGAAGAACCTTTAGAGGTATATAGGTATAAGCTTTTGGTCACTGACATAAATGACAATTCCCCTGTGTTCCCAGAAGCAGAAATGATTTTGAAAATCATGGAAAATACTCTTCCAGGGACTGTGTTTCCCCTGAAAAATGCACAAGATTTGGATGTAGGTATCAATAATATTCAAAACTACACCATTTATCCCAACTCCCATTTCCACGTTCTTACGCGCAATAGCGGTGAAGGCAGGAAATACCCGGAACTGGTTCTGGACAAAGCCCTAGATCGAGAGGAGCAGCCTGAGCTTAGGTTAACTCTCCTGGCAGTAGATGGTGGAGTTCCTCCCAAAACTGGGACAGCCTTGGTCCTCATTGATATCTTGGACATCAATGACAATGCCCCTGAGTTTGTGCAGCCACTCTATCGTGTGCAGATCCTGGAAAACAGTCCTCTGGGATCTCTTATTGCCACTGTTTCAGCTAGAGATTTAGACACAGGAACAAACGGCCAAGTATTCTATTCATTTTTTTACGGTGATGAAGAGATTATTAGGACATTTGCACTTAATGACCTCACAGGAGAAATTAAAATAATTAGGGAACTAGATTTTGAAAAAATTATGTCATATGAGCTGGATATTAAGGCCTCTGATGGGGCTGGTCTTTCTGGAAAATGTACTGTCATAATAGAGGTGGTGGATATAAATGACAACACCCCAGAACTGACGGTGGCTTCACTTATAAGCGCCATCCCCGAAAATTCCCCTGAGACCACAATAGCTCTTTTCAGTATTCAAGACCGAGACTCTGGGGACAATGGGGAGATGGTTTGTTCCATCCAGGACGATGTTCCATTCACTCTGAAACCTTCCGTTGAGAATTTCTACAAGCTAGTAACAGAAGGAGAGCTAGACAGAGAGAGCCAGGCCGAGTACAACATCACCATCACCGTCACTGACCTGGGGACGCCCAGGCTGAAAACCCAGCACCACCTAACGGTGACGGTGTCCGACGTCAACGACAACGCCCCGGCCTTCAGCCAAAGCGCCTACACCCTGCGGGTGCGCGAGAACAACAGCCCCGCCCTGCACATCGGCAGCGTGAGCGCCACGGACAGAGACTCGGGCGCCAACGCGCAGGTCACCTACTCGCTGCTGCCGCCGCACGACCCGCAGCTGCCCCTGGCCTCGCTGGTGTCCATCAACGCGGCCAACGGGCAGCTGTTCGCGCTCAGGTCCCTGGACTTCGAGGCGCTGCGCGCGTTCGAGTTCCGCGTGGGCGCGGCCGACCGCGGCTCGCCGGCGCTCAGCAGCCAGGCGCTGGTGCGCGTGCTGGTGGTGGACGACAACGACAACTCGCCCTTCGTGCTGTACCCGCCGCAGAACGGCTCGGCGCCCTGCACCGAGCTGGTGCCCAGGGCGGCCGAGGCGGGCTACCTGGTGACCAAGGTGGTGGCGGTGGACGGCGACTCGGGCCAGAACGCCTGGCTGTCGTACCAGCTGCTCAGGGCCACGGAGCCCGGGCTGTTCGGCGTGTGGGCGCACAACGGCGAGGTGCGCACGGCCAGGCCGCTGAGCGAGCGCGACGCCGTCCAGCACAGGCTGCTGGTGCTGGTCAAGGACAACGGCGAGCCGCCGCTGTCGGCCAGCGTCACGCTGCACGTGCTGCTGGTGGACGGCTTCTCGCAGCCCTACCTGCCGCTCCCGGACGCGGCGGCGGCCGAGGCCCGGGCCGACCCGCTCACCGTCTACCTGGTGGTGGCCTTGGCGTCGGTGTCGTCGCTCTTCCTGTTGTCGGTGCTGGGCTTCGTGGCGGTGCGGCTGGGCAGGAGGAGCCGGGCGGCGTCGGGGGGCGGCTGCTCGGTGCCCGAGGGCCCCTTTGCGGGCCACCTGGTGGACGTCAGCGGCGCGGGGACGCTGTCGCACAGCTACCAGTACGAGGTGTGTCAGGGGAGAATCTGGGACCAGGGAATTTAAGTTTTTGGTCTGTTGTCTCTACCCAACAGAGGTCTGTGAATGGTGTGGAGGAAAGCTCAAATTTTGTAAATAGTTTTGGATTCAATTAGGAACTTGGGTGAGGGAATTTGGGTTCTTTCTAAATATGATAGGTCTCCATTACTGTTTTTGGTCCGTATAGAATTTCTTGGATGATTTGCTGATTCCATATTCATATTAAGGGGATTAGAAATATTCTTTGAGTATATACTCATATTTACTCTTTTTATCATTTCTATTTTGATGGAGACAAAGAATTTTCAACTTCATTGCATTACTTAAAAGTCATGAACATGTGTTGAATTTATCAACTTTTCATTATCAAGCACTGCTGATTTGAAGATGACTCCAGCCCCATCCTCTATTTGATTGTTATACGGAAACTCTAAATTTTTGATGTTGTGGTTACTTAGAAAGCATCATGATATTAATATAATGAAGTATTAGTATAGCTTCTGTTTAATCTGATATTAAGCCTACCTGTTTTAAATCTTTAAATGGTGAAATGTCTGCAAAAAATGCATGTTTTTGTTTCACAGTAGTATTAAATAGGAAGGCTACAATTTCTCCCATACTTAAGGGCTTTTCCTCTATATCAACCTTCAGCATATCATATATATGAGTATTATCAAAAGATTATTAGATTATTTCAAGATATTTAAATGCTAGATCCCTTGTGGTGTCTGTCTAGCCCACTCCATCATTTCCAGGAAACTTCTCTCTTCAGTAGAAGTATATGGTTGCAGCCATGTTTATTTTATTTCACCCATTTCCCTCTGTGTCTTCAGACAATCAGACAAGGTGGTATTGCTAATCCAAGCTGAGTAAATCTCTTTTGTTTAAAAAATGGCTTTAGAAATCAGACCTAAAATAGTTTCTATTAGGAACTTAACAAGAAAGTGATATCATGTTGGCTAAATACATGGAAACAAAAACAGAAAGTCAATGCACTTAGAGACAAGAAGAAAGGAGATGCCTAAAAAGTAACATTATAGATTTTCCAGTACCTTCCAAGTTGGCTTTCTCTCTTAGCTTTTTGGAAACACGTATGTGCGCTTTTAAGAAATCTCCCTTTAATTATGATAGCTAAGTGGATTCTTCCCTTGTCAAAAGCATGTTTAGATTCTTGCATGGATTGAACTTTACTCTTCATTGGAGATTTTTAAATTGGCGTTTTAATATTAATATAATAATATTTGGGATCAAAAGTTTGTGGAATATTAGTAGTCTGTAAGGGACAAGTACAAGCTTTGGTTAAAATATATGATTTTGAGAAGAACTGATGGCTATTTCAAAATTTTACAGGTTTTTGAGTGTCTTATGGAAATTCTTTGAAAATTCTCCTATGTAAGAAAGTTTTGAATATTATTACTGTCATAATAGCATTAGTGTGAAATAACACTGACAATGCAAAATGTGTTCTAAAAGAGATGTATACCTTATTTGTAGGATCGTTACAGCCTGTTAGTTCTGTTTTGTTTTTTTTGTTTGTTTGTTTTTTAGAATCTATTCCATTACATAGGGGATGCCAGAGTATTTTGCCATTTAATGAAAAACATTTAGATCATTCTGAAATATTGCACATTACTTTTCTAAAGAGCATAGAAAATGGCTACTTGGGAACATGATGTTTTGTTTATCCAGCTCATATAATGTACCAGGATCCCAGCAAAAAAGGGGACTTCTACATTAGGAGGAGACTCCATCTATCAGAATTTTAAAATTAATTGTGATTTATTGATTGATCTGTTAAGCAAATATTGGTTGAGCATCTACCATGTGCCAGGGACTGTTCCAGATATTGGGAGATGTGGACATGAACAAAACAAAGATCTCAAGCACAAGAAAGACACAGAAAAGAAAAAATTAAATATGTATATATATGCTATATCAGATAAATGCTAAGGAGGAAAAGCAAAGTAAGAGATATAGGAAGTGCCCTCATATGCATTTTCCCATAGTTTGAAAGTTTTATAAAATCATAATTCTCTGACCTTATATCAAAATGATATCATAATTACATAAACTGTAATTAACTGGTAGCTTTTTCTTCGATGTGATTCAACCAAAGGGAACTACTGTTCTGTCACATTCACTGCCTAGAATTTGAAAGAAAATCTAGAGGAATTCATCCTTTTTGCTGAGAGAATTTTAAGAAATCACATAGGTATATACTGTTATTTTCACAACATGATTGATCCTTATTGTCTTCTTTCACTTCTCAACTTTCCTAGCACCTCACCCAGACTACAGATTGTAAAAAGTAGGGATCATGTTTGGGTTGTTCACTGATCTATCAGAACTTAGTACATAGATACCAGTAACACTTCTTTGAGTGAAGGAATGAATAATTGTAATTACATGATTTTCTGATTACATCGCCTCCTTCAACCCATTTCCAAACTCCTAAGAGCCTGCTGGATTATCAGAGGATACAATTATAGCGATTCTTTGGGAAGACAACGCATGGTGGCGCTGCAGGCTAAGGCTTAAATTTTTTTTAAAAAAACAAGCCCAGGAACTGCTATGAACTCTACTTCCGATCTATAGCTGAAGACAAAAGCCTGCACGCAGAGTTCAGGACCAGTACATCATGCTACTCACCAACATTTCCGGACAGGTAACCAACTGAGATATCCATCACTGTCCCTAAGGTAGAGCTGGGCCCTGTTTCTGGAAAGGAGTTTGTGGAAGTAAAGATGGAGGCCGGAGGGGAGTGCTTTCCCAAACAAAGGCAAGTCCTGATTTTCTTTCTCGTATTGGGGGTGGCTCTGGCAGGCTGGGAATCTCGTCGCTATTCCGTGATGGAGGAAACCGAGAGTGGCTCGTTTGTGGCCAACCTGGCCAAGGACCTGGGGCTGGGAGTGGGGGAGCTAGCAGCACGGGGAGCCCGGGTGGTCTCTGAGGATAACGAACCCCGCTTGCAGCTTGATCTGCAGACCGGGGAGTTGATATTAAATGAGAAACTGGATCGAGAGGAGATGTGTGGCCCCAGAGATCCATGTGTAATGCATTTCCAAGTGTTATTGAAAAAACCATTGGGAGTATTTCGAGCTGAGCTACTGGTGAGAGATATAAATGATCATTCTCCAGAGTTTCCTGAAGGAGAAATGACTCTGAAAATCTCAGAAAATAGCCCCCCCGGGACCGTGTTTCCTCTGAAAAAAGCCCAGGACTTGGATGTGGCCAGCAACAACATCCAGAATTACAGTATCAGTCCCAACTCTCATTTCCATGTTTCTACCCGCACCCGGGGCGATGGTAGGAAATACCCAGAACTGGTACTAGATAAAGAGCTGGATCGCGAGAAGCAGGCGGAGCTCAGATTAACCCTCACAGCGCTGGATGGAGGCTCTCCACCCCGATCTGGCACCGCCCAGGTGCGCATCTTGGTCTTGGACATAAATGACAATGCCCCTGAGTTTGCAAAGACACTCTACCAGGTGCAGGTTCCAGAGAACAGCCCTGTGGGCATGCTAGTTATCAAGGTCTCCGCTAGAGATTTAGACACTGGGACAAATGGGGAGATATCCTACTCCTATTTTTATAGTTCTCAGGAAATAAGCACAACTTTTGAGCTAAACAACCTTTCAGGAGAAGTTCGACTAATTAAAAAACTAGATTTTGAAACAAGATCTTCATATGAGCTGGAAATAGATGCGTCTGATGGTGGGGGGCTTTCTGGAAGATGCTCTGTCTCCATTGAGGTGGCGGATGTTAATGATAACTTCCCAGAAATAACTATTTCGTCACTCACCACTCCCATTCCTGAAAATTCCCCTGAGACAGAAGTGGCTCTGTTTAGAATTCGAGACCGAGACTCGGGGGACAACGGAAGGATGACTTGCTCCATCCAGGATGATCTCCCCTTCCTCCTGAAACCATCAGAAGAGAATTTCTATACCCTGGTAACAAATGGGGCGCTGGACAGAGAGAGCCAGGCCGAGTACAACATCACCATCACCGTCACTGACCTGGGGACGCCCAGGCTGAAAACCCAGCACCACCTAACGGTGACGGTATCCGACGTCAACGACAACGCCCCGGCCTTCAGCCAAAGCGCCTACACCCTGCGGGTGCGCGAGAACAACAGCCCCGCCCTGCACATCGGCAGCGTGAGCGCCACGGACAGAGACTCGGGCGCCAACGCGCAGGTCACCTACTCGCTGCTGCCGCCGCACGACCCGCAGCTGCCCCTGGCCTCGCTGGTGTCCATCAACGCGGCCAACGGGCAGCTGTTCGCGCTCAGGTCCCTGGACTTCGAGGCGCTGCGCGCGTTCGAGTTCCGCGTGGGCGCGGCCGACCGCGGCTCGCCGGCGCTCAGCAGCCAGGCGCTGGTGCGCGTGCTGGTGGTGGACGACAACGACAACTCGCCCTTCGTGCTGTACCCGCCGCAGAACGGCTCGGCGCCCTGCACCGAGCTGGTGCCCAGGGCGGCCGAGGCGGGCTACCTGGTGACCAAGGTGGTGGCGGTGGACGGCGACTCGGGCCAGAACGCCTGGCTGTCGTACCAGCTGCTCAGGGCCACGGAGCCCGGGCTGTTCGGCGTGTGGGCGCACAACGGCGAGGTGCGCACGGCCAGGCCGCTGAGCGAGCGCGACGCCGTCCAGCACAGGCTGCTGGTGCTGGTCAAGGACAACGGCGAGCCGCCGCTGTCGGCCAGCGTCACGCTGCACGTGCTGCTGGTGGACGGCTTCTCGCAGCCCTACCTGCCGCTCCCGGACGCGGCGGCGGCCGAGGCCCGGGCCGACCCGCTCACCGTCTACCTGGTGGTGGCCTTGGCGTCGGTGTCGTCGCTCTTCCTGTTGTCGGTGCTGGGCTTCGTGGCGGTGCGGCTGGGCAGGAGGAGCCGGGCGGCGTCGGGGGGCGGCTGCTCGGTGCCCGAGGGCCCCTTTGCGGGCCACCTGGTGGACGTCAGCGGCGCGGGGACCCTGTCGCACAGCTACCAGTACGAGGTGTGTCTGACGGGAGGATCTGGGACCAATGAGTTCAAATTCTTGAAGCCTATCTTCCCCAGTATTCTGAGCCAGGACCTTAGGAATAAGTCAGAGGGAAATCCAACCTTCCGGAATAGTGTAGGTATCTGAAACTTTCCTGTTCACTTTTCCATTAGTTTTGTCTCCTTCGCCTTTCTGTTTCTTTTTTTAATCCAGTAGTAATTTTAATTATACTTCCCCCCTCCTTTTTCCATAGTAAATTTACTCTTTGTTTTCTTGGCCTGATTATTCTATGATTATTTTTCAATTATTGTAGTATTGACAGAAATTCTATATCAGAAAATTAATATTTCTGTTTAAAATTTTTTTTAAAGATTTTATTTATTTATTTGACAGAGAGAGACACAGCGAGAGAGGGAACACAAGCAGGAAGAGCAGGAGAGGGAGAAGCAGACCCCCCGCTGAGCAGGGAGCCCGATGTGGGACTCGATCCCCGGACTCCAGGATCATGACCTGAGCCAAAGGCAGTCGCCCAACCGACTGAGCCACCCAGGCGCCCCTGTTTAAAATTTTTATACTCATTCCTAAAAGATAATATGAAAAGGAAATACTCATTCCTAAAGGATAATATGAAAAGGATAATATTGTAGTATTGACAGAAATTCTATATCAGAAAATTAATATTTCTGTTTAAAATTTTTATACTAATTCCTAAAGGATAATAACCCCTCAGAATAAACAATTCTAATTTTCAAATTATTTTACTAATTATATGACACTACTTAAGAATGTCTGATTCTTGGGGTGCCTGGGTGGCTCAGTTGGTTAAGCATCTGACTTTTGATCTCAGCTCAGGCTTTGATCTCAGGGTCATGAGTTCAAGCCCCATGCTGGGCTCAGTGCTGGGTGTGGAGCCTACTAAAAAAAAAAAAGAATGTCTATTTCCTTTTTACATACTTCATTTTTAAATTACTGGAAGCCTTTTAGGTTTTATTAGTAACACACTGATGACTTTTGCATAACTCCTTATGTGTCTGGGGTGGAATCAATTTGTATTTACCCATGTCCAGTTTTTCCAAGCTCTTTTTGGATTTTTGTTTTACAAATAGACAGCAATGTGTATGTTTTCATGCAATTTATTTCAAAAAGTCACACTTGGAAGCATTAGATTTTCATTCTGAAATACATATGTCACATCATGAAAAGATATCTTTATCATGCATTCTTTCTCAGAAATTCATGTTGAAAAAAACATATGGGTTCTTACATGTAACTTATGATCCTGATAAGAGTCCTAGACAGATTTTACTGATACCCAGATTGTATTTAAGGTGTTCCTGTATACTCTAACAGCTCTGATTGCAGAGTAATTCTCAAGTGACTTCCAGGTTCTAGGCCTAGAGGAGCTTTTGATGGCACAACATGCCAGTATCTACTTGCCTTTAGATGATGACATTGTACTTGTTGTTAAGGGATTTGAAAGAAAATACATTGTATAATTAATATTAGTTAACCAAGGAAAACTTATTAAAGGATATGTTGGTGAGGGTGTTGAATGATTTGAAGAAATAATCAGCTCTGTTGTCAGGACTCCTCTATCTCCAGGAAGCCTCTTAATTTTGCAGATGCTATAGAATGGTATGGTTGGCAGAATAATGGCCCCCTAAAGGCATCTACATCCTAACTTCTGGAACCTGTAAAATGTTAAGCTATATTGTAAAGAGGAATTAAGCTTCAGATGGACTTAAGGTTGTTAATTAGTTAATCTGAAATTAGAGAGGATATCCCAGATGCTCTGTGTGGGCCTGATTCATCAGCTGAAAGGCCTTAAGATCAGATCTGAGTTTTCCCTGAGATGAAAAAGAAATTCTGCCTGTGGGCAGGGGCTTCAGCTTGTGCCCCAGAGTCTCAGCCAGCCTTTTAACTGCCTGTCCTACAGATACTGGACTTGCCTAGCCAGCTCCCACAATTGAGTAATCACTTCCTTGCAACAAATCTCTCATTATATATCTCCTGGTTGTGTTTTCCCGGTTGAACCTCAAATGATACAGGTTTTGGTACATGGAAGTGGAGTACGGCTGTAACAAATAACTAAAATCATAGAAGTTGTTTTGAAACTGGAAGGTAGGTAGAGGCTGGAAGAATTTTGAAAAGCATGATGGAAAAAGGCTAGATTGCTTTGGATAGTAGAAATATGCATATTAACAACTCTGCTATCAAAGTCTCAGAAGGAATTAAGGAGCATGGTGGAGAAAACATATGTTGCCATATAGGATACCTAAATCAGGGTGCCTGGGTGGCTCAGTAGGTTAAGTGTCTGACTCTTGATTTTGGCTCAGGTCATAACCTCAGGGTTGTGAGATCAAGCCCCACATCTGGCTCCATGCTGCTTAAGACTCTCTCTCTCCCTCTCCCCCCACCTCTTATTCTCCAGTGCTGGCACTCTCTCTCTTTTTCCAAAAAAAAACCCCCAACAAAACAAAAACCTAAACCATTGTAAAGAGAATGCTGGTAGAATTATGGATGTTAAAGTCACTGATGGTGAGGGATCAGACAGAAATCAGGTGCAGCCCGGTTTCTTCGTGCTGCTTATAATGTGAGAGGAATGAGATAGATGGAGGGAAGAACTGTTAAGCTCTTAAATGGGACTAGAACTTGGTAATGTGGTAAATTCTTTGACTATTCAGATTGCACACAGGGCTCAAATTAGGAAAGTATGTTCTATATCGAAAGCCAAGGGGTCATAAGACAACCTTTTACTAGTGCCTTGAAAGGATTAAAAGATAAGAGCATTCAGTCACACAGCAGGTTCTTTAAAGAGGTTAGGCGTGTAATTCATGGAAATCCCAGCCATCCCAGCAGAAGTCAGGAACAGACGAGATTACCCAGGAAAGAACTGTGAAGCCACCTATTGTCAAGGAGAGAGAATCCCTGTGACATACACAGGGACTCAAAAAGTTCTTGAGAATATTATACCAGCAGAAGTATTAGCAGCTTGAATTGAAGGGACACAGAGAATGATATAAAAGAAACCTATTGTACTGCACAATTCTATAAGCAAGAAATGATTGAAAAATTACTTAGCCAAAAACACATGCTACTCTCTCATGAAAAAGGAAGGATGGCTCATAAGACAGAGCCTGGAGCCCAGAGAGTAGAAGTCCAAACCCAGGCCTAGAAAGGAAATAGAGTTTTCCTGGATGGATTTCTGCATTTCTTGGGGAATATGACTATTTCTATTTTCCATTTTCTGTTTTTGAACTGGAATGGCTAATAACTGTTATCCTATGCCTGTCCCATCATGATACAGTTTGGAGAGCAGATAATTTGTTTAGTTTCACAGGTCCACAGATGGAGAGGAATTATGCCCAGGATGGGTAGTACCTAGAGTCTCACCCATACCTAATTTAGATGATGTAGATGGTGAAGTTTTGAGTTTTTGAGTTGATGAAATTTAGGTGAAATTATGGACTGAGTTGATACTGTAATGAGATGAGATCTTTGGGAACCTTGAGTGTGTATATATGTATATATGGTGGGATGGATGTAAATCTTTGGGGGCCAGAGAATAATGGCCCCACAAAGTATCAGTGTCTTAATCTCTGGAACTGTGTCATTTGTTATATGGCAAAGAGGAATTGGAGTTGCTGATAGAAAAAAGGTTGACAATCAGATGACCTTAAAATAAAGAGTTACCCTAGATTATCCTGGTTGGTCCAATGTAACCACAAGAGCCCTTAATAAGAGGTGGTAGAAGCAGAAGAGTCAGTGTCAGAGTGATGTTTTACAAAAGATTCCACCAGCCTTTACTGACTTTGAAGATAGAAGGGAGCCTCCAGGGAAGGAATGCAGGCATTCTTAGAAGCTAGAAAGGCAAAAATAAATTCTCCATTAGGGCCTCCAGAAAGGAATGCAGCCCCACCTTAAATGTAGCCCAGTGAGACCCATTTTAGACTTCTAACTTCTAGAGCTATAAGATAATAAACTTGTGTTTTTAAGCCACAAAGTTTGTGGTAATTTATTACAGCAGTGATTGGAAACAAATACAAATGGCTTCTAAAAAAGCCATTTCTAAACCCATTTTTCTTTGCCTTCCCCTACTCTAGACCAAAATATTCACGTTTCCATAATCTCTTGCAGGTAGGAGTATTCTAGTACTCAGCTATTGCTAGTGATTTAAAAATGCAATTGGGGCATTGTGCTTAAGGGACATTTTTTCTTTTCTTTCCTTTTTTTTTTTTTTTTTAGCTTTTTCTTTTTCCTTTTAAAATTGAAGTGTAGGGGCGCCTGGGTGGCTCAGTCATTAAGCATCTGCCTTCAGCTCAGGTCATGATCCCAAGGTCCTGGGATTGAGCCCCGCAGCAGGCTCCCTGCTCAGCCGGAAGCCTGCTTCTCCCTCTCGCTCTCCCTCTCCCCCTGCTTGTGTTCCCTCTCTCGCTGTGTCTTTCTCTGTCAAATAAATAAATAAAATCTTTAAAAAAAATAAAATAAAATTGAAGTGTAGTTGATACACAATGTTAAATTAGTTTCAGGTGTACAACATAGTGATTCAACAACTCTGTACATTATGCTTTACTCATCCCAAGTGTACTTACCATCTGTCACCTTACAACACTATTACAATACCATATTCCACTATATTCCCTATGCTGTACCTTTCATCCCCATGAATTATACATTCCATAACTGGAAGCTTGTATCTCCCACTCCCCACTCTTCTTCACCCCTTCTGCTCATTCCCCCATCCCTTCTGTCTGGCAAACACTAGTTTGTTCCCTGTATTTGAGTCTCTTCTTGTTTCTGGTTTTTTTGTTGTTGTTGTTTATTCAGGGTTGGAGTTTTTTTTAGAGTCTACATGTAAGTGAAATCATATGGTATTTGTCTCTGTCTGACTTATTTCACTTAGCTTAATACCCCTAGGTCCACCCATGTTGTTGCAAATGGTGAAATCTCATTCTTTTTTATGGCTGAATAATATTCCATTGTATATTTATACCATTGTATATTTATACCACATCTTCTTTTTTTTAAGATTTTATTTATTTTTTCATGAGAGGCAGAGGGAGAAGCAGGCTCCCAAGGAGCAGAGAGCCCGATGCGGGACTCGATCCCAGGACCCTGGGATCATGACCTGAGCCGAAGGCAGACGCTTAACCATCTGAGCCACCCAGGCGCCCTATACCATATCTTCTTTATCCATTCAACTATTGATGGACTGTTAGGTTGCTTCCATACCTTGGCTAATGTAAATAATGCTGCAGTAAATATAGAGGTGCATGTATCTTTTCAAATTAGTGTTTTTGTTTTCTTTGGGTAAATAACCAATGTGTAATTACTGGATTGTATGGTATTTCCTTTTTTAAGATTTTATTTATTTATTCAAGAGAGGGTGTGTGCACAATTGGGGGGAGGGGCAGAGGAAGAGGGAGAAGCAGACTCCCCACTGAGTGCAGAGCCTCACACAAGGCTTGATCCCAGGCCCCTGACATCATGACCTGAGCTGAAGTCAGACACTTAATGGACTCAGCCGCCCAGGTGCCCCTGTATGGTATTTCTATTTTTAATTTTTTGAGGAAACACTGTACTGTTTTCCACAGTGGTTGCACCAAGTTACATTCCTACCAATAGTGCAGGAGAGTTCCCTTTTCTCCACATCCTTGTCAACACTTGCTATTTCTTGTCTTTTTGATACCAACCATTCTGAGAGGTATAAGGTGATATCTCATTGTGGTTTTGGTTTGCCTTTCCCTGATGATTGGTGATGTTGAGCATCTTTTCATGTGTGTGTTGGACATCTGTATGTCTTCTTTGAAAAAATGTTGAGGTCCTCTGCCCATTTTTTAATTGGATTATTTGTTTTTTGGTGTTGAGTTGTATGTTGTTGTTTTTTTTGAGAGAAAGAAAAAGGAAGAAAGAAAGAGAGAGAGAGAGAAAGAAAGAGAAAGAAAGAAAGAAAGAAAGAAAGAAAGAAAGAAAGAAAGAAAGAAAGAAAGAAAGAAAAAGAGAGAGGATGCAAGCACAGGTACGAGAGCCTGACCCAGGGCTCCATCCCACAACCCTGAGATCATGACCTGAGCTGAAACCAAGAGTCAGAAGCTTAACCAACTGAGCCACCCAAGTGCCCCGAGTTGTATAAGTTCTTTATGTATTTTATTTTATTTATTTATTTTTTAAAGATTTTATTTATTTATTTGA